GTCTTTTATTATTGTATAATTATCTTGATACAGTAGATATCGACAAACATTAATTCATTTAAATTTGTATTTGTGGACCGAAATTTACACCAGGCTGAATCGCGCTTTAATGGCCTACGTTCCATTTGTTATTTAGAGAAATTGTACCCAAGTTTTTAAACATGTGAAACAATTAATTTACTATTAATTAAAATCATAAATATATAAATCGATTCTTGGTTGAACAAGGCTTCGTTTTTCAGTAAAACTTGAGAGTGGTTGTTCCAAATTAAAAACCGTTTTCACCGTTGATTTCAGCGTCAGACATCCTTTCAAAAAATGTAAATTTATGAATACCTTGTCATTTGAAATAGTTAACCCCCTATTCGTATCCTGGAGATTTAGATCAAAACTTTTTGGCACATGGAGAACTAGATAAAGAAAAGTTTACTTGTCTGGAGGGGGTTCCCCAAAAAGCGCATCTTGTATGTACACATCTCAGAAAAATTATATAGACGTACTATTGGATTGTAAAATAAGTCCTCACCTTTTGTTCAATAATTCGATTTATCCCTCTGGAATTTTAAACAAATTTATATAAAATTACAAAAAAAAAAAACTATTGCTAAAAGAACACCATCATGGTCAAAGGATGTTCGATGTAATACGTTCATATTTCTCTATTTGTAGTTTCAAAACAACTAATTAAAAAAAAAACGAAAAAATAATTACTAATTAATTTATCAATAAAATTAAATAAGGCAAGTTAATTTTGTAATTATTTACAGCGATATTTAAATGTAGTTTTGCAGAATTTAATTAACTTGAGAATGTCTTTGCCATGAATAAAATCATATCTCTGTTTAAAAATTCACAACTAAAACGCGTTTTCCTTATTTGCTGTAATGGGTGTCTCGTGAAAAAACGTCAATACTTTCTGAGGTTATCCTTCATCTTAAATTGCACTAAAAAGTGCCTATTGACAAACATCTGGTTCTCAATTGTATTCTAGGTATTTCACTTTTCAGATTATTTCAACCTTTCACATTTTTCGATAAAGTACAATCGAAAAATTTTAATATTACTGTAAATTTAATTACACTAAGGAAAAGAGCATACAAAAATTTATGAGATTCATCAAGTTTTTTTAAAATATTTATTTAGAAATCGTGAGATGCGGTCTGGTGTGATGTAGGTTTCAGAAAAACATTTTCTTTATCTTTATTTGGAAAGTCGTAAAAAGATTTATTATGTATAAGTTATTTACTATTTTGTTTGTTTAATATTACCAATTTAAAAAAAAATGTGGTGATTAGTAACCGTTAATCGATATTTATTTAGAAATCGTGAGATGCGGTCTGGTGTGATGTAGGTTTCAGAAAAACATTTTCGTTATCGTGCCAACGTTTCGATCTTTATTGAGATCATCTTCAGGGCCTTTGAATATATAAAAAATATATTTTGCATTGTATAAATTTACTTTTCCACATCCAAAATGTAATTGTTATATGTAAACAATGTTTGTAAATCCCAGGCCCTGACAGACATGGCGCTTACAGTTAAGTTGCTCCTGCGAATAAGCTTTAAACAAACGTGCTTCATTTCTCAAAGGTCAATTATTCCAGTGTAAAATTCACGTTTAAGTGCTAAACATTCGATTTTTTCGGTTACAAACATAAGAAAAAATAACAATCATAAAGTATTTATATTTTTAAAATATTTATATTTTAAATTAACTAAGTCTCTTCTACATTTTATTATCAATCTAACTAAATATATTCAATGACTATTGTTTATTTATATTTGAAAATAATCGCTGTTCTTTATTGTATTTAATTTTTTAACATCTTCTTTTTTTAAAATCAGATTTAAACCATGCCGCTAGACTTCTTCATTATGACAGTTGTTGTGATTTAATTCAATAATTACAAAAAGTTGTTTGAATTCATTACTTTCTAAACCAGTATAATTTTTCGTAATTTGCCTAGGTACCTATTATCAAGGAGAGTTTATATTATTTAATCAAAATGTAATTTTTTTCTTAATGTAAATTAGGCGATAGTTTTGTTTATCTATAAACGAAACAAGGTTTGTATTGAGCTTGTAAAACTATTTTATAAAAAACCGGAACACTTTTCCAAATCTACATCGTTCGTTTTCCCCAGTTCTAGTATGTTTGGAATAATGTTTAGTTAGTTTTACACACTCTGAAAATGGATTAGTTAGGGTGTTTTTATTTAGTTTCGTCGAGATCTCATATTTTTACGCGGTGTTTCGTTAATTTACAATGAAGGAAAACTAGCGTACTTTCGACATTTTTTTTAATTCAACCGTCAAGAAAGGCCCCAGAACAGTACGGCCCTAACTCAAGACAAGAGGAGATAATGTCTACACACGATGGCACTGTTGGATGGTATTCAGGCAGTTGCGAGAACCAAATTGACGGTCGGTGATTTGAGAATTTAGGATTGGAAGAATTCTTTTTAATAGGTGCTTTTCTAAAATTTATCCAAAACTATATAGTAGATTTACTGGCCTAAATGAAGCAGAATAATTTGGTTCTTGTTTAGAGAACATTCGAAGGTATATACCAGTGTTTTCATGAAATAGGAACGTAGTATGTACTAACAACAGAATTAAATAGGTACGTAATGAACATGTTTTTGATAGTTGTTGCAGAATTGTAGGAGTAATATGGTCAAAACCTTTAGCTTTCTTTGATTGAGATGTTTTATGGCAGAATGAACGTCAGAAGGTGAAAAAGCTTTAGCACAGAGGGATAATGAAATAAGGGAGTGTAAATATTCCTCGATACGTTATACTTATACGTATGGTCTATTATGTGGGGGTAAACAACGTAGTCAGTTGAGAAGCAAAAGCATTCGCTCTCTCCTCGTGTGACATGGCCCAGTTGCCGTCGACCTGGCGAAGAGGGTTTAATTTTATGGTAACATAGAAGCTTTGTTATATGCCCGATTTGTTATTGTTGATAGTAAACCATATGAATCGGTAAGAGCGGTAAGCTTGTAATCCCGTTTCAATTGATGTGTTAGTTTTCTTTTTTCGTTCATCTGAAAAACTGCGAATTATCCTTATGATCTTGTCTTTTCGATTTTATGAGGTGTTGAATATAAAGTGTTACAATGTGTGGTGATTAGTGACCGTTAATCGGATAATTATTCAAGAAATCGTGAGATGCGGTCTGGTGTAAATCCCAGGCCCTGAAGATGATCTCAGTAAAGATCGAAACGTTGGCAAGATAAAGAAAATGTTGTTCTGAAACCTACATCACACGAGACCGCATCTCACTATTTCTGAATAAATAAAGTATTACGTTAATGAGCTTTGAAATAGGGTTTTGTAATGTATGCAAATTGTTGAACACTGATTAATTCAGTTATTGGTAATGTAACTTTTTTGATTGTAGTGTCTATTTCGTGGTGTGTTTTGAAGAGGGTTTAGAAATTTACATAAAGGTTTTAAATAAATCGAGATTTAAAGATTTTTTAATATCACAAAGAGAAAACCGCAGCTCAGACTTACGCATTAGGAGAAAGCATAAGAATAACCGTTCGTAAGCGGTTTGTTCGATTCAGAAGCGGAAATTTTGATTTGGAAGACTTCAACCGTTGACGATGACCAAATTCAAGTTTTTGTCACAAATAACTCGCACAGAAACGTCACATCGCAGAGACACTTAAAATACATTACATATTGTCAACACTGGGAATAGTTTATCGATCTGCGATTCGCTCTTAAAACGGTAAACGTCTCACTTTTGAAAATATTGATAACTGGGAATGAAAAGATTCAATACAACTTTGTTCAGATAGGAAAATCTTCGATAAAACGCAGCGACTCACCGTTAACAACTCCGAAAGACGGATGACATCCCAGGATGGTAAACTTGTACATTTAATGGGATTGAAAAGTAGTGCTTTAATATGAGGTTTTTACGCCCAATCAAACCGGTAATCCTAGTTTATACTACACCCCATTAGAGCGATTCGAGACAGCAAATGACCAAAAATGACCGGCAATGGCTAATCTCAATGGGATTATTTTCTGGAACAAAACGGTTCATATATTATTGATTAAATTCGTTTACATGTACATGAAATTTTAATTGAATTTACCGTAAAAAAACGCTACGTACTTATTTTACAACCACATATTTAGAGGTATTCTGCCAGAATTAAGTTTAAATTAGTTTTTAAGTCGAAAAACAATACATATAAAACTTTTTTTCAAAACTAAAGTTAAAAGTACATGAAATTCATGAAAATGATTATTGGCTTATCCATTATGTGAATTACCAACCATAATAATAACAACCAAATAACCATAAATTTCACTATTGTAAGTAGATCTTAAAATTTGTTAACATTGTGAATTTTTAATAATAGTTTCAAATTTCAGATGAATGGGTATATTCATCAAATGATTAACAAATAACTGAGTGATTTTCTTTTTTCAAAATGACCTTGATCCTCTTACGAGGGTTCGCAACAGCAGAGGTCATATCAACCCTCGGGTTGTCGGTGTTTCTGAAAAAAAAAGGCTCATTTGTAAGTATGTTGGGTTTGAATTCAGGGGCAATGGATTCGAACCTGAGACCTTTACCATGCAGTGATGAGCGCCGCGCCAAAACCTAACCGACAACCCCCGAATAACTGTTCCATCAGGACTTAAAATGATTTGGGTGTCGTATAATATAAAAAGCAAATATTCAGATAAAGATTTGACGATTGTTTTTTATTGTATGGCTCGATTGTTTAATTGGAAGGAAATTGAAAGTATAACGGAGCCCAGCGGCCCAAAATAACGATTATAACGAGGACGATCAGTTGACCCCTGGTCTTGTCACAAAGGGCCTTAATGACCAACATTAGGCCCTTTCTATAGGCAACTGCACCCTATTGTCTTCCACTATTTCTCTCTCTTTCTCTCTCTCTCTTCCTCTTTATATTGAAATTTTAGAATTAATTAGTAACTAGTAGGTAAGTAGTATTTTGACTTACTCCCTTGAACCAAATTGGTTAAACACGGTTGCTGCTGTTTGCCGACAACGTTTTCTGCCCAACAGCCGATCGTTCCGAAATCCACGTCTGTTGCGGGGGTGTAATTAAAAAAACTGACCGATCCCGTCGTCCTCATCCAGCTGGACGGAAGCGGCAGAACGTCCTTGGAATTGTTGAACGTCCATCTAAATTTGAGATTTGTATTCGGATTGGCGTCGACCTCGCACGAGAGAAAGACGGATTGATTTTTTAACAACCCGATAGTTTTTCTTTGTTCACCCTCTTTGCAAACTGGAGCGTCTGAAAATAAACCAATAAAAACAGAATAAAATATTAATCACTTTAAACAGTTTAAACATTATTTTAAGGAACTTAGACTTAGAGTTCAAATAACACTAACTTAAGGTGAGGATCTCGGTTGTTTGTGAATTTAATGAATAGGATTTGAGGAGGCGGAGAGATTACAATTGGCTAGGAGAGCACTAGGGGAATTCTCGACGTCAAGCATTGTGCAAGATTCGTTCGACATATAACTCTCTTTGAATTGGACGTTCGGTCTTTTGTCGGGTGATGGAATAGAGCAATACAATAAACTGGACAATACAATGACTCCCTTGAAGGGACAATGTATCCAAGAATGCCTTCCATTCAAGACCTTATCACAAACAACTTAAGATTCTTACAATTCATTTGACCTGTTCCTATAACCGCTTATCGATAACTTCTAAGAATTTCCAAATAGCGGGGAAGAACAGAGACATAAATCAAGACCAATTTTAATTATGCGATATGAGATTTTTTTGTTAATTTTGTTATATTTGTTATTTACCACTCACAAAGTTTAGTTAGTAATTATTTGTTTCCTTTATTGAAACATGTTAGAAAACCTATAACATTATACATTATTACAAGCACGTTGATACCAAAAGTTATTGCTTAAAGAAGTTGTTAGAAGCTGAACAGTAAATATAAATTCACTAGTTTCGTGGGCCGCTTGACCAATTAATATCTTACAAGGTTTTCAGTTGAGATAAAAAAGGGCAAAACGGAGGGAAAATTCAAAAGGTGGTTGAGATGGGAGGTTGGTGTCCGAGTGGATCGAGGTCACGATAGCTCAAGTGGTAGAGCAGCGGCGTATCAAGCCGAAGATCGTGGGTTCGAATCCTGCTCGTGCCATTGACTTTTTTATCTCAACTGAAAACCTTAATTAATAGTAAATATAAAATCCCACTGGTTGATTTTATTAGTTGATGTAATTAGAACCCGTACAATTGCAAAGTAGAATGTACTAACTAGCTTATGACATTGATTTCTGTATAATATTAAGTTGAGTTAAGTTAATTAGCTGGATTTTCATGGCTTGAGGTGAACCGCTGTATCTAAAATAAATAAATTTTTCACAATGAAATAAAACCGTCTCTTTGTGAAATTTGGAAATAGTGTTTCCATTAGAGCTGCCTGTCCTATGATTCGATAGTTGAGGCTTATTTTTTTCCGGCAGACAGATAGGTCATAGCCGGTTCTCAATATTTCCTTTCTCTGCAATTTTAAGGTCTTACTATTCTTTGTAATCAATTTTCATCTTATCGTTGCAATTATCTGGGACACGTCTGCATCCTTCACACATAAGCACATACCAACAATTCAATTCAATCATGCATTCACTCACTCCAATAACTAACTCCATCACACGCACATTTATATATATATGTGTATAATCAATCACGCTAATAACAGACCGCCTACGCACTTGGATATACTGTCAATCGGCCTGTTCCCATTCATACTCATTCATTCAACATTCTCGCTAATAAATACATACATTCATTAGGATATGATCATATGCAAAGAGGCAGATTATAGTAAGTCGTACACTTTTATTATTCGCAAATATTTAAATAAATTTTTCTAGTACTAGCTGCATCAAAATTTTCTTTGTTAATGTTTCAAACGTTTGCTCTGTGCGAGTATGTAATGCACGGTCACTGGCCCATCACACTCTGGGCAACATCTCTGTTGCCGTCACCATCAGGTAGCCATGTGTGTTACGGGTGTGGCATATCCTCAGTCTTGTTAAGATCGTTCTATCTTTCTTTTTCATTTTCTCCACGGGCCATGGTTTAACAGTTTCCTTAATATTCCTTAGTATTTCCGTCATTTCAGTCCAGCGGCTTTCCATTCTTCATAACATAGGTGGTGTCATTGGTGAAAAAGGAGGTAAAATTCTTAAACAAGAAGGCTTTAGAATAGATTTTAGAGGTACGTATTCACTTACAAACATCCTCTCAAAACCTAAAGACTTAAAGGTTGACAACTAGGCAAAAAGCGGGATTTACAAATTTAAATGTAATGATTACAACATGAAATATATAGGACACATTGGTAGAGATATTAAAACGAGAGTTAAAGAACAATTGCCTAAATCGAACAAATTTTCGGAATTTAAGGACCATCTAAAAGAAACAAAACACAATTTAAATTTAAATAGAACAGTGTTACATAGTTTCAACAAAGGGAGGGAACTAGTTAGGTTTGAGAAATTTGAAATTAAAAATGTAAAATTGTACATGAAGATAAATGCATTAATAATATAATAGATTTTGATTTACCTCTTATTTTAATTATGTACCTAAATAATATTAAACGTACAAAATAACCAAATTAATTAATTTAATTGTTATTAAATGTTATCATTAATTTATCGACGTATTATTAATGTATCATTTTAAATTTAATTTTAATTTTTTTATTAATTAATAAAAACATACAATTTAATCTCTAATTCTTAATCATTTTCTTACAGTATTTATTAATATAATATTTAATTGTGTTATAATTCCCTCTTTTTGCACGTTGAAACTTGAGCGGCATTAAAACCCAGCTTCTCATTGAAACGGCGCGTGGGCGGAGGATCGACGGGTTCACCATTCATGTCGAGAGAGAACTCCTTCAACCTGATGATGAGCTAGCTATAAGCTTGAAATCCGTATCCTTGAAAACAACTAACTATGAGTAAGAATCATCTTTTTAAAAAGATTGAACAACACTCTCTCTACCATTGATTCTTCCACCACAGATGGAAAAGAAAAACTAACGTCGATAAAACACAGGCATTCCCATTTACAAAAAGACGACCAACGTTGCATGATATGAAAATATACAAATAAAGGATAAGAAAATAGCTTTGTCACACACAGCTAAATAAACGTGATTTATGGACACTAAACTTACTTTCAGTGAACGTATAAATAAACTCAATTATCAACGGAAGTAAAGGTTTAATAGTGCAACTGTTCTTCATTAAACAGAAACATTAAAGTGAGTTCACTAGTTTTCGTGGTCAGCTTGCCAAATTAATATCTTTCAATTAATTAAGGTTTTTAGTTGAGATAAAAAAGCCAGTGTCAGCAGCGGGATTCGAACCCACGATCTTCGGCTAGATACGGCGCTGCTCTACCACTTGAGCTATCGTGACCTCGATCCACTCGGACACTAACCTCCCATCACAATCCCACCTTTTGAATTTTCCCTCCTTTTTGCTATTTTTCAATGACAATATTAAAGTGAGTATTGGCAGGAAGGTAATATTGTAGGATATCCTCTTGTGGTCTGCCGGGTGATAAACCTATAATTTTGATAGATATTTTACCTATAATTTTTGTCTGCATTTCCTAGCTGATTTTTGTGATTGAAAACATTGAAATCGGTGACATCTAAGAAAGTCGACTTAATAAATTGAATGCAAATGAAAATCCACTTAAAAACCTTCATACGTAAGTATTTATATTATTAGATTATTTAAATATGTTAATTGTCGATTAGTGGTTAAATAAAAAATCTAAATTACCATGCGGGTTAGATATCGCTCTGTCCCATTTCTGAAACGGAAGATCCGATCTAAAATTACAAAATACGTGTCCCCATTTATTTTATTCCAGTTTCTAAAGAATGCCATTAAATTTTATAGCTCCACACAAAGTGCCGGGGTGGGAAATACATAAAAAATTAGATGGTTTTACTTTGGCACACTCTTGGAAGACCTTTTTTTATGAGAATTTAAAACATTTCTCATTGACAAAAATATATATAATTTACAAAATGATTTTCTTAATTTAGTTTACATGGTGATAATAAGATACATATTCAAGAAACAATGAAATAATATATTCAAGAATAAATCTGTAATTATTATGATATTGTAAGACACTTATTACAATGTTTCAAAAGCTATAACCAATTAAACATTATCTATTAAAATTAATTTTAATAACATTACATAGTTAACTGTATACTCTAGAATCCCCCAAGGATCACATCTTGGTCTTATGTTCTGTTGTATTATTCATAAATTCTGTTTTAAATGAGGTCAAATCTTACAGACCCATATCGCTGTTACAGACACTAAACTTTTCGAAAAGGTAAAACCCATAGTAGAAAATAAGCAAATTATCTCAGCTCAACCATTTAGATTCCGATCAATGCATTCACAACAATAGACCAAATTAACCAAGTATGTAATAAAAAAATTACTCGTAAAAGCTATTAATTTTTTCTATTTTCCTTGATGTTTCACAGACTTTTGACAAGGTCTGGCATAATGGACTCATCAGTAAAATTAAAGTAATTCCTTTCAAACAGGGGGGGGGGTTAACGACCATCTACTCGTTGGGTGTTGAGGAGGAGTGGTAAAATTATTTCACAATAAATTTTTCATACATAACCCATTAAAAACCATGGGAACTGCCGGGATTCGAGCTCAGGGCCACTATCTTGGCAAATGAAGTGCGCCTAAACTACACGGCCACCGCAGTCCCCTAGGACGTATCCTGTAACCTAAAAGCAGTAGATATGATCAATTCCTTTTGAACTGTCAAACATTTTAGAGTCAAACTAGAAACGATCCTAACACGTTCTTCCAAATCATACGCGCTCCCTTTTAAACGCCAAACGTCAAGCTACAATAGAAGGCATTGGCAACAGCCCGTTATCCTCAACCGGTTGACTATACTTCTACGCACTCAACCCTTCTCTTACGCTCTATTCAGTACAACAAATACCTTGCAACCGTTTCCACACACGACAACTCCAAACATATCGAACCAAAAAAATATCAATCCGTTGATTCCTTCATCCGTTTACCTAATCGACGTGGGTCTGGAGTGACAAACCTATTTTTAACCAATTTAGAATCCACGGTTACTGATGAAATTAAATGATGCCCATCTAAATGCATAACTTAGAATACCACTTCCTCTTCATCTCCCTCTCAAACCTTTTAATTCTTCTGAAATTAAGAACCT